CGTTTACGTACGTACGTCGTACGTACGTACGTACGTACGTACGTACGTACGTACGTACGACGTACGTACGAGACGAGAGAGAGAGAGAGAGAGAGAGAGAGAGAAGAGAGAGAGAGAGGTCTGACAACAAAGGTGAAGTGGATGAGGGGTGGACCTCTCTTTATATAGGCCTCAATGGCCCTAGGATATTCCTCTTAGAAATAGGATTCAGTTTGACCTTGGGATTCCCAGGTAAATAGAGGTAAGAGAAAAAAAAAAAATTCATCCATTCCTAAAATCAACCATCATAGTTAGGAAGGAATCTAGGAACCTTATTCCCTTAATCTTTGACCCATATTCACTCCTAGTTAGAGTAGAACTAGATCTTCTATAGCCCCATAAAATCTGGACTCTTACTCACATAGAAATAACTTCTAATATCTTTAAAAATCAAAGTCCACATGAAGATCCCATTCAAAGTCAAATATTCAAATTATAACTAAATAGTTCCTCGAACACAAAATACATAATCATATCTAAATTTTCTCCCACAAAATATTCTGAAAGATTATGAAGGTTTGCCAAGCAAGTGGAAATACTTTCTCAACAAGTGGGGTGACCTACCCATGTGTGTGATGTGTGGCCCAAGTGGGTCCCACGTCCCACAGCCGTATGGTACCCACTTTTGTGGAGGCTGAGCCCTTGGCCCTCCCACGTGGGTCCCACTCAAGGACCATGTCCCTACAAGTTGCAAAAATATCAACACTACCCTTTTTGGGATTTAAGCAAGAAAATAAATTTTTACAAAATTCTAAAAAATATTTAAAAATCACAAGAGCGTAAATCAAGCTGAAAATAATATTTTTGAAATTCTGAAAATTTCTAAAAAAGCTCAAAAATAGCTATGGAAGTAGATTGGTACCAATGGGTTAAGAAAAGTGACTGTCAAGGCACTCCACCCGTGCTGGAATTCGTGATACACAACTATCTTATCAAACCAACCCAACCAAACCCATTACTCATAGTCATATGTAGGGGTTCATGATTGGCCTGTCAAAGCTAGCCACTAAATAATGGAACCACGGTCTTAGTATGTAGATTATAGGTTCCTTCCTGAAGAGCAAGTCACATGCACGTATCATTATAATGCAAGGGGGACTCTCTCTATGTACAGGTCTCCGTCTGTAGGGCTGCTTCCCCGAATGCGCTGCCTAATGTACATGCCTTTTGTTGAGGATTTGTTCTTCACTCATAGGCATACTACACACAAAAGACCATGAAGCTCTCCTGGCCTACACACATCATCCTCGGGCATCTCTTCGACCTCAACAAGGGATTACCCTCTTGAAACCTTCAACAGAAGTCCATGTGCCTAGGGGGCAATGGTTTTTTGCATGACCTAGGCCATAGACTGCCCAACCCTATATCAGTCATTCTAATATAGACTACCACTGAAGTGCATAATCCACTATATTACTATTTTTACATGCTCTCAAGGCTTTAAAGGCCACAAACCCCAACGATAAGAAAAGTGAAAAGTACTTCCATTCCCACATAAAACTCTCCAAACCTTGTTATTGGTATCTACAATGTGAGATAAAAAATACCCATTGTAAGCAAAACATGTGCATGTATTATTTGTCACAATCCCATACAAAGCTTGTCAAAGGAACTCAGAAGCCTTGGTCCATGCCTTGGAAACTTCTAAGATATATTCTGTATTAGTTGGGTTCTTTTTGTGAAAATGGGTTTTTTTTTTGGAAAAGTTGCTTATCACAGTAAAGTGCTCTGCTACTTGAAGATATCATTTTCTTCGAAGTCCTTGCTGATAACTGCTATATCCCTACTGAGCTTTTATTTCTTCTGACATCACTCAGGATATGTATTACTGTATAAAATTTATTATGCAAGAACGTTTTGCTGTATCTCCCTTTTGATGCTGGGTGCATCTTGGATTTGATCCTGACCTAATCACCAGACTTGAGACACAGCTCCATGCCTCTGGGGATGGGTTATTAGTTATAAATTAGTAAATCAGGCATAATTAGTTGTATGATGTTCTGCATTGCTGCACTGCTGGGTTTGCTTTAAATCGTTTTTGTATAGCTCAGTGACATGTGTTATTTGGTATTTATAAAAAATAGTTAGATAAACATTATGTGGCATGTGTAGGAATGGGCAGCAGAGCATTGTTCTGCACCTTACAGAGCCCCAGAGTTATGGGATTGTCCAAGCCATGCAGACATTGACGAGAGGACAGACATATGGGCACTGGGGTGTACTCTCTATGCAATAATGTAAGAGATTTGATTTTATTTGGAAACTTTTGTTTGCATCACTCTGTTTGCCATAATGTCTTTTTGGGCTTTTCTATCTTGTCTTATCATTCTTAGAAACTTTGATTAAACATGTCCAGTGATTTAGGAATTTTTCTAGGATATATCAGAAGCATTGGGTGCCATTGATAAGGTTAGGTGTTCATTTCCCCAACTGTACATAAGTGTGCCATGTTAGTTTGGGAGGTGGAGTAGACTGGGTCTATATAGACAATCTGTGTAGGGAAGAGTGCTTAGGGTTTCTAAAAATGTTTAGGCTAGGTAGATGATGGCATGCCCAAGATTATTTTGAGGAGATTTGTGTTGTGTGGTAGATTCACCCTTCTCCATAAGTGACCTCATTTAAGTTGCTGCCAAGAACGTGATTCTCATGAGTAACCACCATCTTTGGAATATGGGTTCCCAAATCCCCAATTCATGTGATGTTTAGTGACAAAAGGTTGAGTACCTGATTAAAGAATTGTTAGTCTATGACAGGAATATGAGCTTAACCTCTTTGAAATATCTTTGGTCCATCCTAGGTCAACGTTAGGCCTCATCTCAACATGATCATCAGGCTTATATTGGTGCACTTTCTATGGAGGTGATGCCCATTTTCCATATTCTGGTGATTATGGAAAAAGGCATGTTAGTGCTTAGAGGTGATTATGGAAAAAGGCATGTTAGTGTTTGGAGGTGTTCAGCAAGCTAAGTGGTAGTAAAACGGAGGATTAAAATAAATCATATCCCTATCATTTAATAGGGAAGTTCGTCTTTTACTTCTTTGTTGTAATTGATAAATGTCGAAAGATGGTGAAAAAAGGTGAACATAAGGAAACAACTTTGGGGCTGGGTTTGTTTGTGGTGGTAGTACCACCTGAGCCCAATGGCGAAGTCTCAAACTCTATTTTCTCGCAAACTCCATTTTCACCAAGGGTAGGGGCCCAAATCCCCACTGATTCACCCCCCCCAAAAAAAAAAACCGAAAGGGAGGCATGAGCATTATAGGGCCTGCTAATGCATCTTGGTTTCAACATTGAGGGAGGTGTTGGAAATCCATTAAAATCCAATGCATGCCCTTGTGGGCCTGCCATGTTTAGGTAAATTGACCATCATGATAGAAAAAATCAAGTCTCACTATCATGGCTTTCATCAATATCTGGTTTTCAATGGAGCAATTTTGTTTGGTTCCTAATATCAAACAGCATAGCTATTCTTGTTTTCATATAAACTGTGAGATTAGACAAAACATGACAGCAAATACAACTCAAAATCCAGCTTCTTAAGATGATGATGACTAAAACACACTTTTTATTCCTTTTATCATGAAATTAATTCTTTCAATCAATATCCATGAGGACTCTTTAGTCATGCAAATGTTAAAAACTATTGTTATCAAGTTGATCCAATAAAAAGAAATAACTGTTATTCATCGCTCGCAACCTTTGTGGATGAATGTCAAATAACTGAAAATCTAACTGCTTCAAAATATCATTGTTAGCATCATACATACATGTTTGCATTTTACAGGTATGGGATGTCACCTTTTGAATATGCACTGGGTGAATCTGGAGGGAGCCTACAGTTGGCTATTGTGAATGGACAAATAAAATGGCCTCCTGGTCCGAATCCTCCATACCCAGATGCTCTGCATCAGTTTGTCATATGGATGCTTCAACCCCAAGTTGCCATGCGGCCACATATCGAGGATGTGATCATTCACGTTGACAAGTTATTGGCAAAGTATTCGACGTGACCAAATTGTGTTATGTTATTTATTTTGTTATGATGAAGCAACTCATTTGGTGCCATATTGAATTTGAGCAAGAGAGTATCCTAGCTGCTATTAAGGTAGCATCTAAGTTTTCTTGTTTCGGTTTTCCTTTTAATAGCTTGCGAGCATTCTTTGAGTACCATTAACTTCTGCATCTTTTGCTCTCTCTCTCCCTCTCTCTCATGCACCCACACCCATCAACACGCACACACTATCACACAGTATTTACATGCGACATTTGCAGCATCCTGATGTGTGTAGACATTAAGGCATGCATGCACATCCATGCAACCATGTAGCATGTCCAGATGGTAAAAATTTCCCTCCTGCATCCTGATGTGTGTAGACATTAAGGCATGCATGCACATCCATGCAACCATGTAGCATGTCCAGATGGTAAAAATTTCCCTCCTGTCTGATCCCTTCAGTCAACTAGGTCGAGTCTATGTTTGCTTTCTTATATTCTCAACCCCATCTTAAAAGAAAAATGTTCATTACGCTCTTTTTCTTTATGGGACCACTGACAGTAACCCCATTTTTAATGTTCCCTTTGGTTTTATTTGGTTCTTAACTCACCACTTCTCCTTAGTGTTAATAAATTGGTATTTTCACGTTCTGTAATTGTTATAGGGTATTTTTGACTCACTTAGCCCCCGACACAAATAAAGGAGCCAGTCACGACCTGGTCCCGTCGGTACCAAAAATGCTTACAGACTACGGAAGCAAGGAGCCAGTCACGACCTAGTCCCGTCGGTACTAAAAATGCCTACGGACTACAGAAGCATGGAGACAGTCACGATCTGGTCCCGTCGGTACCAAAAATGCCTACGGATTACGGAAGTACTGATCAAATAAAGTCGTTTTCGAAAAGTGGCATAATGACCTCAAAATTTGTAGGATGATGGTTTGGGGTACATTAAGGATGCTCGTCAAATTTCAGGGACGAGTTTAAGACATGTTTGATCGAGTTTTGATTCGAAAATTCAGCTCCCATCGTTTTGAAAAATACCTCGTAACTACAGCCTATGTTTCAAATTTCAGATGAACATCAGACCACCAATGTTAGATCCATAAAGTTTGAAAATCGTTGTATGTCAAATTTCAGCTCATTCAGACACTTCTAGACCCTTGTGCCTAGCTTTTACACGATTCTGGTGAGGCGGCAGGGAACCAATTTTCATAAATGGAACTTGCCACATTTGAGCTCGGGATTGATTATTTAATGGCCATATCTCCTTCATCTTGGACCCGATTGAGCTCAAATTTCAAGGCAAGGTTCGTCTCGGCAACGCGTACAATTTGATATAAACTTTGCCTCGAGATGATGAGCGGATGAAGAGAATTCGTAGATAGAAGTTTCATCAGATCGTCATGAAAATGGATCCGTTACGAGTGTATGATGAAGATGAACAATATGAGGTAGAGGTAAAATTCAAGCGAGATAAATGATTGGATTGAGCACAATTTAAAGATGACACGTTTCGGGTCGATGAAATCCCTTTGACAACTTTCTAAATTGGGAAGAAGTTCAAATGACAATCAATTTTAACGATTTTTTACACAAAATGATCGTGATGCAATCCTATCCAAGTTGTGATGAAGAAATTTATCGAAAACACGACGGATTGGTCTACATGAAGAATTGAAAGTTTTCATGTTCTTGAAAGTGGCCGGAAGTTGTATTGCCAAGTTTCCATGTTACGATTAGGGTGCCAAAATAAATATCAAAACGATCGCAATAAATCGGGTGTAGATAGTGTCATTTCTAAAAGCGTCCCCAAATTGCCCTCGGATGGTGTCCGTGGCTCTTAGACCTCCATCCGGACGACGATCGAAAACCCCCAAATTGCCCTCGGATGGTGTCCATGGCTCTTAGACCTCTGTCCGAACGGCGACCGAAAACCCCCAAATTGCCCCTTGGATGGTGTCCATGGGTTAGACCTTCTTCAAAGGGACCAATTGGTCATTTCTTATTTTGTGGGAAGGGTTATTTTGGTTATTTTTCATTAATACGAAAATACATTTTAATTAAAAAATGCTATTTTTAGTAAATTTGGTCCATTTTTTAGCATCAGGCCTATAAATAGATATAACCTCATTATGTAAAGGGGCTTAAAAAAAGTTTGGAATGAATGCAATAAAATGAGAAAAATTAAGAGAGAAAATGTTCTTTTGAACTCCCTTTATCTTGAAAGAGAGGAGAGAGAATATTTTATCCATACTCCTCACCCATACATCACACATACTCTCCACCCCTAGGCTATCACACACCACATCTACACCTTACACTACTATTATCCATACACCACTCCTACACCCTACACCACTCCTCACTTTTATGCACCATACCTGCCCATACACCATACTACATCATTTCATACAACATACTCACTTAAGCATATAGTCATCCTCACATATACACTAGTCTAGTCTACATAACCTAATCCACCTTGGCTCACTTAGACCCTATCTTAGTCTGCCTAACCTAATCCACCTAGCTCACTCACACCCAAACCTAGACACTAGCCTTCCTAAGGTTTGGGCCCACCTTCAAGAGCATTCAAGGGAACATCACCAAAGGGTTAACACCGAGCCAAGCCAAGGACTCGAGCCTATTTAAGTGAAAGATCATCTTTCTCTCTCTTCTTTTTCTCTCTATTCTCTCTCTCGAGTGGGCCGCGAAGGGCCTTCAGCCCAAGCCCGAGCCCATCTCTCTCTTTCTCACTCACCTCCCTTATTATTCTCTCCCTTAATTTTGTCAATATCTCTCACTGCCGAATTTCCCTATCTCTCTCTTTTCCCTCTCTCTAATTAATCTCTCTCCCTTAATCTTCTCAATTTCTCTCCCTATCTATTTTTATGAAATTCTCTCTCTTTTCATGAAATTATCTCCCCCTCTCTCTCTGTTTTACGAAACTCTCTCTACTCTCCACCTCTCCCCCAAATCTCACTTTCTATCTCTCCCCTTCTCTCTCTCTCTCCTCTCATAGTTGTAGGGATCTCGAGAACCCCTAGCTTGTAGAACTAGGAACCCCAAATACCGAGATCCCACCCAAGATCGTGTACTCAATTAGCCAAATACGAAGTAGATGAATACAATTATAAATCGAGTGCGAGAAATAAAACAAACATAAAAGGCACACCACAACAACAAACGATTTACGTGGTTCACCCCGTAGGGCTACATCCACGGCCTAGGCAACTAGAAATCCACTATCACAATGAATATTACAGTTTGAGTTACAAGAGATAGTACCTATCTCTAAACATCGATAAAAGACCATCACCGAACTTCCCTTCTAAACTCGCTCTCCTGACCGAGCAACATCGTCGATCAACCTCTTTTCCACCGCAATTCCGCTACTGGAAAGATAATCTAGAGAGCAACATAGAGATTTTCTCTCACTAGAAGTGGAAGTTAACCAACCCAACACTTATGAGAATTCAGCCCCTGTATCAAAAGCCATATCTCTCTCTCTTAGAGACCCATCTCCATATTGGAGATCCATTCCCATAACCCCCAAATGGGTGATCATCAAATGATAAGTATTATGTCCTCCTTCACTCTCTTATAAAGATAGCACTTTCTTGTTTATCAAGAAAGTTAATTTTTTATTTCCCATAATACCCTAATCATTAGAAGAAAATATAGGTATGAAGATTTAGCTATCGTCAAACCCAACAATCTCCACATTGATAGCAAAATCACCATAATTGCCTTGACAACTTTCATTGAATAGATATCTTGATTTCTTCATACTTGCCTCCATTGTGGAATTTTCACAAACACTTTGCCTTTATATTTCTCTACCTCAAACCATGGATATTTCTTTATTTCTTCTCACATGCCTCCATTGTGAAATTTTTCCAAACACTTTGCTTTCATATTTCTCCACCTCAACCCATGTATCCATAAAACTTCGTCATTGCCCTTTTTCTTACTATAAACCTTAGCCCCGTACACACCTTGTGCTCTGATACCAATTATAGGGATCTCGACAACTCTTAGCTTGCAGAACTGGGAATTCCAAATACCGGGATCCCACCCAAGATCGTGTATTCAATTGGCTAACTATGAAGTAGCTGAATACAACTATAAATCGAGTACAAGATATAAAACAAACGTAAAAGGCATACCACTACAACACACGATTTACGTGGTTCACCCCGCAGGGCCAACATCTACGACCTCGGCAACTAGAAATTCTCTATCACAATGAAACATTTTTGGGTTACAAGAGATAGTACCTATCTCTAAACATCAATAAAAAACCATCACCGATCTTCCCTTCTAAACTCGCTCTCTCGACCGAGCAACATAGATATTTTCTCTTTCTAGACGTAAAAGTTAACCTACCCAAAACTCATCGGAATACCGCCCCTATCTTAGAGGCCATGTCTCTCTCTCTCTTGGAGACCCATCTCCATATTGGAGATCCATTTTCATAACCCCCAAAGGGGTGACCTTCAAATGATGGGTATTATGCCATTCTTTACTATCTTATAAAGATATCACTTTCTTGCTTTTCAAGAAAGTCAATTTTCTATTTTCTATAATACCTTAATCATTAAAAGAAAATATGGGTATGGTGATTTAGCTATCATCAAACCCAACAATGGTCATATAATTGTCCCCAAAATCTCCCTTTCTCTCTCTCTCCCCCCTCACAATCACGTTGAGCCCCTAAATCTCTTTCTCTCCTCCCCGTTAATCTCTTCCGCCACTCTCTCTCTCTCACCGTAAATCTCCACCTCTCTCTCTCTCTCCAAATTTTAGTCTCTCTCTACCACTGTCAATCTCACGGGCAGCAATGTCGTCTTTTCTTTCTCTCACCATAAATCTCCCTCTCTGACTCTTCTATCTATCCCCTAACAGTCACACTCCTTCACTTGAATCTCCCTCCCCCAATCTTTCTCTCTCTCCCTCCCCTCACAGTCACCGCCCCAAAATCTCTCTCCCTCAATCTCTGTAAATCTCTTTCCCTCACCCAATCTCTCTTTTTCCCCCTCTCAACATTCTCTCTCTGCTCCATGCATCTCTCCCTCATCTCTCTTTCCCTAAATTTTCCTTCACTCACTCTCTCTCTCTCCTCACAATCACGCTGCCCTCAAAATCTTTCCCTCAATCTCTGTAAATCACAC